GAATCCATTGTAAGGTATATTGTTTTGTCTCCTTTCCTCCGATCTAATGAGATTAATCAACTATATGATCTCAGTATTTATATGCTACACTTAAAAAATGGAAAGGTAACTTTAGTTGGTTAATTTTTACCTGCAGAAATAATAAAAAAGAAAATCCTTGCCCTGATTGATATTGCAACTTGGATTTCTTTTCATGAACTCTTTTCTTTTGATTTGGCATTTTGAGATTACACATCGTTGTTCAGATTTTGTGCCAAAACAAAAAGCAACAAAGTAATGGCTAGCCTCCATGAATCAACTGAGAAGCAGATGTTTGGTTCTCGTAGAACCCAAAAAAAGTTATTCTATATTACCTTTGTTAGAATAAAACAAGTTTGTAGTTTTGTTGGTTGTTTCTTCAAATTTTGACGCTATGACAACTGAAGGCTGAACACAAGGCACCTTCTTCAGGTATTGCTGCTTCTGTTTAAAGTTAAATTAATCAACCTTCCTGTTCATCATTAAGTGGAAAAAACTTTTGCCGTTATTAGAAAAAGAGGAAATGGTCTGATTCACATTCACGGTTAGTGATGGGATCACTCCTCCTTTATGTCTGAAAAGTTTTGTATTTTTTGATCAGGTGGCTTTAACACATCCACCATGAATTGGACAATTTTTTTCTTTTGTAAAGACATAGGTGATGTAGCCATATTTGATTGGTCTGCAGCTGATAAGGACACCCCACATTATGGCTAATGTGATATTCTCCTTTATATGGTTTAGAAATCATATATTTCTCCTTAGAAAACAAACTTGAATCGTTCCGCTGGCAAAGGGACCTCTTCATGTCAGCTTTGGTGAAGCTGCAAAGAAATTCTTTCTTGTATTTATGGAGAATTAGTCAATACTTTTCATCATTTTCTTTGTCAATCTGATACTTGGAAATTTAGAGTTGCTGAGGAAACTGGGACCAAGTGTTGTGAAGGAGTTACAATAATTAACCACAGAGAATTATAGTGGGCTGCTAAACCCAACAAGCCTTGTTGGTTTGATTAAAAATGCTGAAACAATATGCATATCTTAGTTCAACAAAAACTCACATTATCCCACAAATTGAAGGTTCAACTGTACAATGATACCAAATCATGGAAATCCTTACATCATCTAAGTGACGTAAAACCATCATAGTCATGACTCATGAAACATCCTATTCACATGGCTTCAATAAGTGTGAATTGAGCCCATCTTAACTGTCTCTATTTCATGACCCTTGTTTGTTACCATCTCCCTCAAATTAAGTTCAAATTAGATGCTGTTGCTAGAGATCTAGTGCTAACCGTGCTATAGTACTTTGAATGGTTGTATTTTGTTTGGAGAACCTTGAGAATCAATTTCTCATTTGAATATATACACACACACAATTCTACTTTTGATTATTTATTCTCAAGAAATATAATATAGAATAAAATACTCATTGATCCATTGATACATGAAAGCATCTTTTCACTGAATCTGTCCATGAAAAGGAAGATTAACTCAAATCATCTACATAGTTCAAACGAATATTATTAAAAGTTGCAGTTGTAATAAGTTGGTGCTAATCCTGGAACCTTTGGTTCTCCAATCCCCAAATTCCATAACCCAAAGCTGGGATTGGGAATGGGAACATAAATCCTTAGACAAGTGATAATTAATATTGAAATAAGCCCCTGGATCCCTAGATAAGTATATGATTGATCGTAGCAAGTAGTTGCAAGTGAAGAACACCACCTTCTAACTAAGAAGATCAAATTCTCAGATCATCTTCTTAATTAATTCTCTGATCATCAGGGCAATCCCCTTCATTTCCTTAAAAACAAAAGTATAGCCACTAAAGCTGCAAACCCCATTCAAAATCGCCTCTACTTTCTTCTATTTCTTATTATTATTACTGTTTTTGTTTTTCCATATTTTTTTTTCTTTTTATTAGATCGATCATTGAAAGAATTGGGTGATGGAGGATAAGCCAAGTAATTGCTTTGCTTTTTCTCTGTGTTAAAAGAATTGTGTCCAAACCAGGAAGGAGCAAGCAAGAAAAATATGGTGGGGATCACATTATATTGCTGAATCAAACATATAGACCCCATTCTAGATCTCTGATGCGACACCCGCACTTGGGGTTGGGTCCTTGGTGTGACTCTCAGTGGCTCTGTGGGTGCTCGCTTTTTTCCTCCATACATATCATGAATGGATGAATTCGGAAAGAAGAAAACAATGGATGGAAACTACACACGTTAATTCCACAATTTAAAAAATAGAGGAAAAACAAATTCAAGGGTCATCTTCCTACTTATTTGGATTTGCCTTCTTTGCTTGGGAATAAGCAAGGGCAACCTGATTGTGATTGCTTCACCCCCTCGCCCTAAGGGGCCCACATGTACCTCTCTCTTAGCACAGTTGCACCACGTGGCAAATGACTTGATAAAGGAACGAGGACAAATGGTAGAGACAAGATGTGGTAATGCATACTGTTGAGCTTGAGGGATATTTACTTGTTACCAGAACAAAGGTGGTTAGAAGCTATAAAATGAAGATGCCAAACAGGGAAGTAGGTAACCGTAACTCACAACACAAACTCCATAAGCCATAAATTGGAATTTACATCTACCCCCCCACAAACGCCTCACAGCATACCCCGATGGTGTATTAGAAACATTTGCCACTGACAACTTTGAAATATATTTTCAATGTACGCCGAGATATGTATGTGGGGTGCCCTCTGTGGGGCGCAGATGTGATCTCCATAAATTGCCTTTTGTCCTGTCCATCATGTTTCGAACATCAAGATCCACCGTTGGATAATCCAATTGGATAGTTATTTGTTTTACTATTACTATTTTTATTTCTTCTGCCTACATAACCACTCCTCCTTACCCAACCCTGCTGGCTGTGGGATTTGATTACAGATCTATGCTACAATGTGTCAGATCCTACCAATTAAAGATACCATCAATTGGCATTGTTGTTTTACTTGGGATCTGTGAAGCATTGTAGAAAATCCCGTTTGGGGTTCTAATTCTAGGCTAGGTGGCAATTAATAAAAGGGAAAAAGTCACTTTGGTCCTTAAATTCTAAAATACGATACTTCAGTATTTGTTATTAATCAACAGTTCACCTATGTTAAGTGACATTTGAAAAGGATATAAATATCCTTGAGTGTTATTTAATTTTCTTTATCAACCATTTAAATATTGACAAAAAATTAAAAATCCTGAATCCTTGCTTCTTTCATTCAAGAAAGTTAGGGTTGCGTTTGAGTGGGCATCAAAGTTCAAAGTATCGATATGTATTAGCTGATACGTATCGTGCCGATGGCTTCCCGATACGCCCCTACAGGGGTTGTATTAGGTCAAACCATGGTTCAAAGGTTAGCCATGACTTAAACCGACTCCTCTAAGTCGATTTTAAAAATAAATAAATAAATAAATAAAACATAAAAAAGCACCGATTTAGGCTGATACGCCCTACCGACATATCGACCTGTGTTAATACTTTGAACTTTGGTGGGCATTTTGGTGACCCCAACTTTCTTGAATAGAAGAAACAAGCATTTGAGACTATTAATTTTTTTAGTCAATGTATAGTTGATAAAGAAAATTAGATAACATTCAAAGGACATTTATATCTTTTTAAAATGTCACTTAAAATTAATAGCTAATTAACCACATGTATTAGATTATCACGTTTCTAAAGTTCAGGTATTGAATTATTGCATTTTAAAGTTCAAAGACTAAAATGACACTATACCCAAAATACAGAATATTAATCGAGAATTTTCCCTTAAAGAGTGTTTTGTAAATTCTAAACCCCCTGTCTCCCAAAACCTTTCAATGCTTGCTGTCCCCAATGCCTACATGCCTACAGCGCAAAATCCTCCCTAACCTTATCATCCCCCGCATTTGAGGATGAATGGGTTGGCAGGTCAGTCCAAAATTAATATCTAAATTTTTTATTTATATATAATTAATATAAAAAATAACATAAACGAACATTAAAACTAATTTTTTTACATAAAATACAAAATATTATTAAATTTAACACATAGTACACAAATTCATATATACCCGACGGAAACAATATACAGCTTGAAAGGATCATATATTATTACAAATTTGCATATCATTACAAATTTACAACAATAATATGCAAGTCAAAAAGGATTGGAATCAACTAGTCCACTGAATGTTTCATTAGCCATCCTTAAGGGCCCAACTTTTAAAGAGAAAGTAGATCAATGGACTTTTGATTGGTTCATATTGAAAATTTTATGGAGAATTCGTTTACCTTGTTTTATCTGGAGAAAATTGTCAACATTTTAAAGAATCAAAATTATTCCTATAATAGCCTTTTATAAATAAAAAAGCCATTATCTTATTTTTCTAGATAAATAACTTACCGGGCCTAAATTAGGGGAGTTATTAAGGACACTTTCAGCTTTTGTCAAAATTTGTGGGCTTAGGCCGGTGATTTTATGAAAATTTTGAATAAGCGTGGTGGGAAGGCCCAAACCGTAAGCAGTGTAAAATGATAACTCCGGCCAACCGAGTTGCACCCCTGTTTAAATTGCCATCCCCACTATGCGTATAGAATAGATTCATAGTTCACGACGTCTATTTTTTAGTTTGATCTATCATGGAGTCATTCGCCGTTTGATGTCAAGCATATATGAAAGTACGATACTGGAGTAAAAATTATATTTATTTACTTGCTGTAAAACAAAGACCTTTTAAAGAACCAGCGAGAAGAGCTGGAATCACAACACCCATGAATTCGACTATCAAATTATCACCTACTAGCTACTACTGTTTTTTGGTATCTTTTTCTTTTACCCTTCTGTTCCTCCAAACAGCCTCTTCCCTTTTTCTCATCAACCCAGCAATTAATCCCCCTTGAAAAAGGATCAACTCAAGGGGAAACCCC